GAGAAGTGGGAGGAGGAGGTGAAATAGGAGGGCCTGGAGGAGGAGAAGGGGAAGGTGGAGGGGTGGGAGGAGAAGGGCAAGGAAGGGGAGAAAGCGGGAGGAGGGAAAGGAGGAGCGGAACAAGGGTAAGGAGGAGAGAGGAGGAGGAAGGGAAGGAGGGGACGGGTGGGAGGAGGGGAAACAGGATGGGTGAAAGGAGGAGACGAGGAAGAGCGAGGGGTGAAAGGAAGAGGGATTTGGAGGGGGGGGAAGTAGGGGTCAGGCTGAGGAAATCAACCCACCTTATGGTCATCCGAAAGGGGGATTGCTTTTCCACCCCTACCCAGCACCGCTCTAGAGTCGCCGCAATTCGCTACGATGATCTTCCCGCCACCGATCAAGGCGACGACGGCTGTGGTCCCCACCGTGGAGGCAAAGGACCCTTCCTTCCGTTTGCCCCTCTCCTCCTCCTTTCTCCCATCTCCAGCACCACCTCCCGCCTCCTCTCCGCTTCCTTCCGAACACCCACCGCCACCTTCGCTCTCCCCGCCTTCTGTCCCTCTACTACACTTTTCCTCCTTCCTCCCCCCCTCCTCCGCAAGCCCATCATTAATCATCTCCTCCTCCTTCCTTCCCAACTCCCAGGCATCCGCACATCCTTCCCCATCCTCCTCGTCATCATCGCCGTCACCATCACCATCTTCACCCCGTCCCTTCACCCCCAACCCTTTCCACCACTCCTCCTCCCCTTTTCCATCCCTCCTCTCTCCCTTTCCCCCCTTTAGTGCGCACCCCTCCTCGTCCTCCCTACATAACCCCCCAATCTCCTCATCCGTCCGATGAAAAGCCCGCAGCAGCACTTGGTCCCACGGCATCGTACAGCAATCATGCTTCACAGCTTGACCTTCAAGAGCCCTTACTTCCTCTAAGACCACTTCGTGGAGTCGCTCCGCGCAGTAAGATGAAGCCTGAAGAAAGAAAAAAGAACTGATCGCGGTCAAGGTGTGAATCAGCTCTGATTATCCTCTCTCTCTCGCTCTCTCTCTCTCTCACACACACACACACACACAGAAAAAACGAGCTGATAGCTCAAGGTGCGTAGCATCAGAATGCACACGCCCCCGAAGGATGTTATTATCCTCTCTCTCTCTCTCTCTCTCTCTCTCTCTCTCTCTCTCAATATCAATATCAAAACCTCATCGGTCAAGATGCATATCATCAAAAAGGACAGACACAACATTCATGCCCCCGAAGAATGCTATAATCCTCTCTCTCTCTGTCTCTCTCTGAAAGAAGAATAAACAAAAAGGGGCTCATTAAGGTATACTTTTATCCGCCATCATGCCCTCCCATTAGAGCCAGCTATGCAGGCCCCCAATAATATTTCGTTAATTATATACCCACCACAGGGCACCGATTATTTGATCATTACTACATACATACCATGCATATTGGCCCAACTATTTAAGTAACTCTAGTCTTACGTACCATATAGCACCGAGCGATGGGCCCAAGAAGCTTTCGAAGTTCAAACACCAGCCTCGCTCCACTGCTCAACGTTCTGCATAATCAGGATGGCAAATGTTGATACAGTCCAACTGATCCAGCATTTTGGTCAATGTCCTGTACAGATACATTTAGAACGTTGTGAACTGCAGCGAGGCCAAATTTCTTCGTTAAACTCCGCGCGCGAGCGAGTCGCAACTCTCAGCACGCGCACACCTCCGGATGGACATTTCGATTCTAAAAACTTCAACAGAGGAGAGAAAAGGCATGCAAGGATTTCGTCGTCCATTTAAACCAAAAAAAAAAAAAAAAAAAAAAAGGATTTCGTCGTCCAGCAACCCGACAGAGAACGAAAAGACTTAAAAAAAAGGGGGAAAAAAAAAAAAACAGAGAATACAAAATTCTAATGAACATTAATCAGACCCTCATCCTCGAAAACAGATTTGCAGACAATCACTGAAATTCACAAATCCGTCACCAGACTAAGAGAGACTGATAGAGAGAAAGAGAGAGGGAGAGAGAGAGAGAGAGAGAGGGAGGGAGAGGGAAGGAGAGAGAGGGAGAGGGAAGGAGAGAGAGGGAGAGGGAGAGAGGACGAAGGTCTTCACCCAAATAGAACGCCCGGTCATTATCCCTGTGCATCGGGACCGAAAGTTGTGCCAAATACAGTTATAATAACTGGGGTTCTATTCGGTTGAAGACCGTAGTCACCGTCCGAGACCCAAAGTGAGGGAGAGAGAAAGAAAGAGGTGGCGAAAAAGCTGACTTACAATTTGTTGTTGTCCATTAATTCCCCACGTAGACACCTTTGAGCGTCGTTTTTTTTCACAAAATGATAATTAAGTAAATTAAAATAAAAATGGAAACGGGAAACTAAATAAATCAATCAATCATGATTCTTCAGAAAAAAAAAAAAAAAAAAAAGAGCTCACCTGGCTGCCACCATGGCCGTCGTAAACCCCGTAAAAATGAAATTTGCATTGGTCTTCCTCCGCCGCCGCCTCCTCCTCCTCCTCCTCCTCCATTCCCAATTCCCTCTGCACTTTGTTTCCCTCCTTGTCCCCGCTAAGCCCGGTGCTGCTGCTGCCCGACGGTTTGCCTTCCTTTCCCCACCGCCTACCTCTCTCTTTCTCTCTCTTGACTCTTCTACAGTCGACTGTGACCAAGGACGGTTTGACCGTCATAGCGTCCTCCATCTCGGGGCGAAGGCCTCGATCGACACAGGTGCCAACTTGTGAACATTTCTGTTGAACTCCCAAACAAACCTCGTCTTCTTCCTCCTCCCTCTCCTCCTCCTCCTCCTCCTCCTCCTTCTCCTTCTCTTTCTCCTCCCTCCTCGCCTTATCTTTCCCCTTGTCCTCCCTCTCCTGGTCACCACGACCCCCCCTGCTCGTGTCTTGGCTGCACCCGACCGACGACCGGTCCTTGCTCCGTCTGTCCTCCTCCGTTCCGTCCTCGCCGCCGCAGTCACACGCTGACCGGTCGTTACCACCTCGGCAAGCCTGGTCATCACCACCAGCGACCACCTCTCCCCTCCTCCATCTAACCTTTTCTTCTTCTTCATCCAGACAACAACTCTTCTCCTCTTCATCATCGCGCGAAGTGGAATGTCTAAGAAACGACGAAGAAGACGCTTCCCGGATCGGGCAACACCGCCGATCCCCGGCGATGGAGGCAGCTACGACTACTGCTACTGATGATGAAGATGACGACAACGATAACGATGATGACACGTCAGCCACCAGGGCGACGTGCGATTCGTGCATTCTCTGCTGCTGACGTGGCAGCTGCGCAGCTGACGACAGATCCACGGGGCAACAATCACCGCGACATCCAGAACCAACACCGGCAATCGCCACCGAAGATTCGGCGAAACTTCCACCACCCTCAAGTGGTGCTGTCCCATAGCTAATCGACACCGGCGATGACGACAACGGCATCGAAGTGACCGCGAGACGTCTACCGCGAAGTGGCACCGGCACCGGCGCCCGTTCAACCCCCTCGCCCGCCATAGCCAATTCCAGCGGAGGAGGAGGAGGAGGAGGAGGAGGAGAAGGAGGATGGTGGACATAAGCTTGTGCCGCCTGCGCTCGCGGCATTTTCGTAGACGACAACGAATAATAGGCATCGTCGCTGCCGTCGTCTTCCCCGCGGCCACCTCCTATTCCACAGGTACAGCGCAAGGGACTCTCATCGGGATCCAGATCTCGTTGCTGTTGCTGCTGTTGCTGCTGTTGCTGCTGTTGCTGCTGTTGCTGCTGCTGATGATAACGGTGACGAGGAGGAGGAGGAGGAGGAGGAGGATGGTGTGGATTTCCCCTGACCTCCCCCTCCCTGCCTCCCTTGCCGCCCATCCCAACCGAAGCGATGCGATCCCGATTGGCTACACTAGCCTCCTCCTTTTTCTCATCCTCGTCCTGCTCCTCCTCCTCCCTCTCCCCCCGCCTTTCATGATCTCTGCTCCGAGCATTAGCAAACGCATACCCGAGAGCGTCGACCACCCCTCCTCCTTCTCCTCCTCCTCCGCCTTCCCTTGGGACTGCCGACAGAGCTGAACGTTGATCATAGCTCCTCCAGAATGTTCTTTGACAAGTATATCCCTCAGTTCCGCCGGTGGGAGGAGCAGTACGATGGGGAGCCGCAAACTCACCTCTGTCTTTTTCTCCCCCCCCCCCTCCTCCACCTCCTCCTCGATGGTCAACATCCTGCACAGCCATAGCTTTATCGTCACATCCTCCTGCTCCGACGACGATAATCCCGCGCGCGAGAGAAGAGACACAGCCGACCTCTCCTCTCTCCTCTCGCGGTCCAGAGCCGCCGAGCGCAAACATGCACTCTCCTCCTCCTCTATTGCTATCCGACAACTGCCATTTCTTCTTCCCAACCACCTCTCCCTTCCTCTCTCCCATCGACCGCTTGCTGTAGCCATTACAATTGCCCGTACCGTAATCATCCTCCTCCTCCATCCGACCACCTCGGCCTCCTTGACCTCCGATCCCGATCTCTTGATTGGTGTTCCCGCCGTTGCTGTTCAGCTGCCACGCGCCCGCACTTCCCCTTCCCGCGTATTCACGGTCGCCTTCCTCGAGCTTCCGATCTCCTCTTCCTCCACCTCCTCCTCTTCCTCCTGCTCCTCCCCCTCCTCCCCCCTCCACTCCTTCCTCCCCGATCGCAGCAGATCGGTCCACTTCAGCCGGGAACCCATGCCAAGCAACCCCCTCCTCCTCCCCTTCCTCCTCCTCGTTCTTCGCTGTACCTCTGCGCATTTCCGTTGGGTCGCTTTTTACCGCCAGCACCATCTCCGCGGGTGAGCGCAGGCCACCACCACTACCACCTCTGTTCCCACTGAGCCTCCCAGCAAAGGGAGCGAGCTCTCTGCGACACCACTTCTCTCCCTCCTCCCCCTTCTCCCCTTCGTATAAAGGCGACCCCATGCTCCACTCAGCCCCCGTAACAAACGATAGCGATGAAGAGGAGGAGGAAGATCCTAAGCAAGAAGCGATGGAATTGGAATTGGCTATGGTGATCGCCGCTGCTGCCGCCGTGGGTGACAAGCTATGGCGGTCGTCGCTACCTGGAAGATCGCCACGTGGCACACGTGTTGAAGTCGGCAAAGGACCGAGTGATCGAGAAGGAGGAGGAAGAGGGAGACGAGAGGAATTAGTCTGAGTAGTGCCGAGGGTATTCCTGCAAGTTGTCGGCACGAGGAGGTTACTGCTGCTGCTGCTGCTGCTAGTGGGAGGAGGGGCAATACATGGGTGCACAAGTCCTAATGACAAAGTGGGCAAGGTGTCGAAGGAGGAGGAGGCGGCGGTGGCGGCGGCGGAGGCGGGGGCGTTGGTGGACAGACGCGTCCGACCCATCTGTCGGTCGTCCAATCCATATCCTCCATGCTCATCGTGCGACCGGTCTATCTGTCGCCCAATCCATGTCGGAGACGGTGCACACTGCTCCTGCCTTCTCGACGGCGATGGCCGACTATTAGGCAGCGGGGCCCCTCGATGTCGTTGTTGGGCTAGAGACCATTGCTCTTGCAATGAGGAGGCGGAGGAGCACTCTCGCGAGGCCACCGAACCCCTCCCCACCAGGTTGTTCGGCTGGGCGACGCCCTCAACAACACCATGTTGTTGTTGGGGTGACCGGCGCTGCTCTTGAGACGCTGGGGGAACCAACGATGACGATGAGGAGGACTGGAGGAGGGGGAGAGTGCAAATGGGCGGCGAACGAGGGCGAGAGTCGCCGTGGGAGTGTTTGACGAGGAGAGAAGGCGGCGGCATTGTCGTTGGCAGCAATATCATCATCGACGAGCCACCACCTAAATCTCGCTTCGCGCGTTTAGCTGGAGGAGATCCGGCGGCGCAGTCGGCCGCCACGTCGCACTGATCGCCTGCTGCTGCCACGTCAGCACGTGGCGAAGCCGGCGAAGCCGGCGAAGTAGGCGAAGTGGGCGAGGGAGCGCGAGACCGAGAAGGAGAAGGACGGGACGTTGGAGTGGGAGTGGGAGGCGACGAGCTCACGTGATCAGCTGCCACGTGGCATTGATGATCGCCGGCCATGTCAGAGGGTGAGAAAGACGGCGAAGGAGCCCGAGGACCGGAAGGGGACAAGGAAAAGGGGGGGATGGGTGTTGGAGGAGGCGAGGGACTGATGCGAGCAACCGGTCTGTCTGGCGCCCAATCCATACCCATCGACAGCGACCGGTCGGTTTCTTGCACGTCCTCCCCAGCGACCGCCATGGGGATCTGATCCCCCACCGGCCTAGCGGAAGTGTGATGGACAGAAGTGACGTGGAAGGTGTCCGTGGGAGCGGAGGCGGAGAAGAAGGAGAAGGAGGGGGAGGGGGTGGAGGGGGAAAAGGAGGAATGGGAGGAAGAAGAGAGAGCGTGCGCAGAGAGGGAGAGGGAGAGAGGGAGTCCCGTCTTCTGCCTCCGTATTGATCTCCGGTTTGCCCGGGCAGCTTTTGCCTCCGACGAACGACTCCATTGCTGCTGTTCTATCGACGAGTAAACCTCATCCGAAGACATGACGATAGCTATGATTAGAGAAGGGGGGGGATATACAGACAAACAGCAATGGAGAAATACTGGGTCGGGGGGGGATATACAACACTGGTGGATAAGGGCGCCAAAAAAAAATGCAATTACGACTGGAGAAGGCTGATTAAAATTTTAATTAGAATTACATTCGACGAGTCGGATTACATTCTCTCTCTCTCTCTCTCTCTCTCTCTCTCTCTCTCTCTCTCTCTCGTCACACCGTGTATCGGGGCGCAAAGGCGAAAAACGACAAAACAAAAAAGGAAAGAAGGAACGAAAGCTCCGCCTGTTCATCAGCTCTTACGTACAAGGCCGGCCACGTGGATGACAGGTTATATATTTATCTATCTCTGACTCTCTACTGATTTATTTTCATGCTGCTGCCGCTGTCGCTGATATTCTGTACTCTCTCTCTCTCTCTCTCTCTCTCTCTCTCTCTCTCTCTCTCTCTCTCTCTCTCTCGCTCGCTCGCTCGCTCGCTCGCTCGCTTACTGATTTCTTTTC